CCAGTCAGACAGAGCCTCGCAGATAGGGCCAAACGTCCATGTGACCAGAAGGTATCGGGGTTTGATTCAAAAGGCCGGAGTCATCATGGGCTCAGATCCCAGTCAGAGTCAATCATTATATGTAGCTCCTCGGGTTGAGAACGACTCAAATCCAAAATGCTCATCTAAATTACAAATAAAATGGACCTCCGTGTGCATCCCATTACCTGGCTGAGCTTAGGCATCCCATAAATCTTTATAATGTGACTTATTCAGTGGGAGTACGGAGAAACAAAGACATGGCAATATGACAAGGCAGTCACTAGGGTGGTCAGCCAAATGGCCCCCACTCATTTGTAAATTTCTTATGTTATTATGTTCATCTGGATTCCGTCCAGCCCTCTGTCCAGACTGCTGTTGGGTGTCCTCCTTTTAGCCCCCTTATCCTCCTTTTAGCCTGTCCTCACCCTCCTTTTTCCCTCCCCCCTACCCACCTCCCTGTCAACAACTAGCGCCACTCTCTTCCACCCCCAGTCACACAAAACACGTGAAACACCCGCATACACTTACTACAAAAGCCAAGAATGGCTATGCTTTCAAGTATTTTTTCATGCTGTTCTGTTGAGATAACAAGATAATTATCTCTATAGATATACTGTCCATGACTTTCACAGTATGTGTATGATATAACCCCCCCCCCCCACAATCAGCAGCTTTTCATGAGTCAAAAGCTTCCAAAAGCTTTTTCAACCTTACTCCTCCATTTTAGACAGAGGGGTCCTCCTGTTTCAGACTTAGTCCTCATTTGTGGACATTGTTGCCCTTGTTTTTCAGACTTAGCCCTCCGTCTTGGACACCCAGGCAGTAATGCATCCAAGGATGGCAGGGCTGGTGAATACAGGGACCTGCATTCACCTCAGTCAGGTTAAATTAGCACAAAACAGGTGAGGAGATCAGAGCATCACAAGCTGTGTTTCTACTTTCAATAATATCAAAGCCTTCTCGTTGCCTGACCCCCCGAGATGAGCAGGTTTGAAGGGGGGGGGTCCAACTCACGCGATGTGCCTCTCAGAATCAGCTCGATGTCACGCTACCTAGGGGCAGATTTCTTCACAGTGCCACTACTGGGGGCTTATGAGAGTCACAAGAGAACAGCAAGGGGCCTTATTAAATTACACCAAGCAAAATGCTCAATTTATCCCTGCTTTTCAGATTCCAATGTATTCCAGCAGCAAAAGTGGCAATAATTACATTAGTGCCTGTTTGCCCGCAGACCTAATTAAACAGAAAGTGTCACTTAACAGGTTTCCTTGCATACTCACTGATGACAGACCTAAATTCATTACAGACAACAGAATAGATTCCCTAATCTGTTTTGCAGCCTATCTGATTTTACAGATAGCGCTGTATGTTTGAGAAAGATTTAGCTCGAAAATCTGCCAGCGATTAAATGTACCCAGGAGCAAGGTAATGCGTGATTTCATGGAGGCCTGACCTGATTTCCAGAGAGGTTTACGTGTCTGTCAGTGGACGAGCCTGTGCCAGTCACCACCATAGGGGATTCACCTCAGCCCATTATCAGGTTTTATACAACCCAGCAAATGTGGACTGTGGACTGTCAGGCAGGGAGCTCGGAGGGAGCAAAAATGTGGACCGGCTGTGGGTCCCCGAGGACCGGATTGAGAAACACTCTTAGAGAAGATCTGGAAATAAGGGTCTGTGCCAGAAGATTCTGGTGCAACAGTGTAGATGGCGGATATACTGTTAAACAAATAATGTTCAGGAGCAGCTGCGTAAATACATTAGCATTTAAATATTCTCCAAATTTCACTTCAACATCCATGTGTCATTGATTGAGAAGAGGCTTGTACTCCTGTGATAAAGTCTTTGGGGCGTCTAAGAATGAAAATATCAAGCGATAGGAAGCCCAGGGGTACGTCAAGACAGATATCAGATGAAAGAGGAGTGCAAGGTATGATCCGGCAGTAAAGACAGGTCTTTAAGACTAGGCGTGTCAGGTGTGCACATGTGCTTTTAGCTAACCGCTCCCTTCCAGTGAGAATATGTGGGAAGTTTCTGCTTATGTTCTGATGTCAGGGCCCCACATTGTGCAGTTCAACCAAAACTAAAACTCGCCGACTCCCAGCTGAACACCAGCCTTCCCAGAGTCGATCACCTATTTTATTTCACCATATGGGATCTTGCAGGCCCCCAGCAAATGTCTAATGACTTGTACTCTAGCTCTTCCTGTATCTCCTGTAATTCTGCATGACCTCTCAACCACATTTGTGTTAATCCACATTTCTGTCAATATGCAGGTCTAAATATGATGAAAACTGGAGGGACATTTTCATTTTGAGAGTTCAGAATATTTTAATAATTCCATTAATCCTGCAGCACCATAGGACCTGAACACATTACATCTAAGCTGCCAGACCGAAGCAGAAATGCACCCTTGCTGATTTTACCCCCTGTGTATCCAGCAGAAGACCTGCCTGACTGACTTCAGTGCAGTCATTTTATGGATTCCCTTATTATCATCAATTGGGAAAATTACTCAAGCTACATTTCATCTGACACTGTCCCTTTTAAGGCTGGTGTAATTGTATAACTCTCCAGAAACATCGCAGACTCATTAAACTCATTTATTCTGATTTCATTTCGTCTTATTTCACGTCAGCATATCACCGAGTGAATCATCGCCGCCATCTACAGGCCAACTATCAGAACTACAGGAATTTTAAAGCTTGTTAAAAAGATAATGTAACTCCACCTGTAACATTTGTCTTTTTTTACTTCTTGCCCATCAGAGATGCCTGTCGTGCTGAATCCCTGATTTAATAAAGATGGACGAAGAAAGATATCCACATGAATCTTATAGGCAGAAAAGCTGCACTCCAGGTTTTAATTATCTTTGAATTTCTGTTTGGGCGGCACAGTGATTAAGTGCTTAGTCTTGTAGGCTCTAGGCTCATCCTGGCCCTGCACAAGATAAGTGGAAGGTGCATGAAATGTTCTAGTTGCCTTTCCAATTTCAGGTGAAATCACTGAAATGAAAACGAAATTGTCTCGTTTTGTGTTCATTTTTATAAGGTTTGTTTAGCTGTAGGGTCTGCTGGTGGTTAGTACTGTAATTAATTTGAACTTTAATTAAGTATAACGCTCAGGAGCGGTTCTCACAGCCATTTACAAATGATAAAACTGGTTGTCATTTCTCTGTCACGGACTAAAGCTGGCGTTTGTGGTTTTGGAGCTTAAATTAATGCAAATGCTGCCACCATGTGGTACTTTAGTATAACTACAGAGTCTTTTACTTGTATTTCATAAAAAGTCAATTACATTGACCAGATGTCTGGATTTTCATTACCCTTCATTAACCGCGACAGTAATTTTTATATTCGGAGCTGAAACGTTTTGTTCCTCTTCTGGGAAAACAGACACATTTGGGGCGCTAATATATGGAAGTCCGTGAATTCATACTTATTGTCTGTCTGCCAGCTGGCTAACAAACACAACTGAATGACAAGCATTTTGGATGGACTTCAGGAAGAGTAAACAGTGGCTTTTCTTGCCTGAAAAGCATGGCATGGGGGTAATACGGTCTATTTGTTAACCGATGCGAGTCAGACCGTAGTTTAGGTCAATATTAATACACTTTGGACTGCAGACTTCAGCGAGTGAGAATAAGGTTATAATATTTTATCTTACAAGTGTCAAATAAATAATGTCACAGCTATCCACGGTCTACTCCTGAGTTTAGCTAACCATACGCGGACATATCGGCGATACACCACAAACACACCACTAGATGGCGGCATGTCAGACGTTTATCCTTAAGTACTAACATTAGCACCAATAATTTGCACATAAACCATGATTACTTATGTGCACGTCTTTTAAAACTGCAAATTTAACAAAAAAGTAAGTGACATTCCTTCGTCTTAAAGGATCCACAGAACACTCATATTCTACACAATACTGCCTTCTCTGTAATCCACCTGGACTACACTGTAGTGGCCACTTCTGCTCCAGTTTCTTGACAAATTGGGTGTTCCTGGATGCCTGTTATGTCAACGGAGTCCGTACCATGTGCAACACAAATACCGAGCTTAATTATTAGTCATTCTACGCATAAGGTGTAAAATTTTTGCTGCAAACATACCATGATTAAAAATGTGAAAGACTGAGTACTAATACGGACTGAACAGATAGCGATATGTTGCAAATTGGTTACATGATTCGAGTGGGACACAGCGAGCCTGTCTCGTAGCAACGGCGGGACACACAGAGGTCACGTGAGCGCTGCCGGGGAGACGCTACATTCCTACAGCTCCCTCATGCCTGACGCCCAGGTCACAAAAAGCTATTTACGGCCGGCAGGAAACGCCTGATCCAGTATCAGCGGCGGGTTTCTGTTGGCACAAGGGCAGCCGCTGCCTTTTGATGTGCAATAAAAACCTCGGGATCGCCGAGGTTCAAAGCCCTTCCTGGCCGGCGGATGGTGCCCTGAAACGGGATCCTACCAGGTGAAGGTTTAACTGAGCACTGCAAATTCCGTCATCGCTGCTGAGTGCGTGGCATACGCACACGCAACCTTCACCCACTTCCAGCAGCAGGACTTGAAAAAACCCAGTTAATAACCCTGTGGCAGAAATAAAACCGTAAAAATACACGCTTCCCAGGGTGAGCAGAGTACTCCTGTTCACGTGTGCTACCCAAGACACAGTGGAGTGGCTCTCTGTGAAAGTGAGAACAGCATCTCGCTCACACAGAGATGATCGGGGCCAGCAGTCACTCAGGCGGGAGGTCCACAATAAGTGCTCAGAGTAAAAGGCAAATAACACCATGGACTAGGAGAAGAAAGGCAACATGACAGCTCCCCCTGTAAGCCAACTGACGCACAGCAGGCAGTAGTGCCATTATACACGCAAAACCACCTCCTCCAGCTCATGCGGTCCAAATGAAAATCAGCATTCCAGAGAGGATCTGGGCAAAGTCTTAATGGGGAACCACAGCAGCCAGACATTTACCTAACATTTATTTAGCGAGGAGCCATTTCCAACATTTCAGTACTAAACCATTTACAAGTTCCACGTTTAGCATCTTTCTATCACAATGCAAATAGAAAAACATTGTCACACCAAAGTGCAGTGAAACAGAACTCAGAAACTAACCACACACTGGCAACGCAACTGTCTGATAATCGACCTTAAGCCATTTCAACAGACACTGTGGATGCACATTGCTCAGTGAAAAGGACCCCACAGAAAGCAAGATCCTCCCTCAGGTTCTCTCTCTGATGAGATGAGAGAAATCAGTGGGTGTGATTTTGCGTGCTGTCCATAATTAACTGATCTAGCTCCTCATTGGCCAGGCAGTGATTGGTAGCACGCGATATTCATACTGTGTTTTTCCTGTCTCCATCCACATCAATGTTGTTTTCATACAGGACAAACCTACAGTGTGCACAAACTGACCATGCTTCTGCAGACTAACATGATCCAATGAGCGCTGTCCACTACAATAAAGACATCTAAACTTCAGAGGTGGCAAGACAGTCAATGTGAGGCTTTGCCTGGGTCAACCCATGTGATTACCAGTGCCATTCATCACGTGGTTGCTGGGACCAGATTTCTCCACAGGGTGGCAACTAACTAACCAACCAACCAACCAACCAACCATCAAGCCCATTCATAAGTGCGTGGATGTGTTTTGCTATACCCTCCTGAAGTCACACCTGTAATTGTCATGACAATTTTGGATTTTTATTTTGTTTTATCCAACCCTTGTGAAAGGTTAGGGGTAGAGATGACGAACTTGATCGAGACCTCAGAGTGTCACAGAATCCTCTGCCAGAGGCAATATAAGACTGCTGCAGATATCAGGACCATCAGAACCTTGAGAGCACCTTGAGAGCACCTCAAATACAAGCTTAAGCCATTAGCTCAAAAGTACAAGGGCCTGGATGTACAGGTTCAAGGATCTGGAACCTCAAGCAGAGCTGCTCTGGCCGGGTCCACGTCCCTCCAGAAGAAGCCATAAGAGTGGGGGTCATGGCAACCCCCTGCCCTCCTGGCCACAGATTTAGCCCATTTCCACGAGTCACTGCCCTGCAGAGTTCAGTCCTTCACTTGGCCAATCCACAAATCAAAAGGGGGTAGTGAAAAGGGGGGGGTCGGGAACTCCAGCCCGCAGGTGCAAAGTCTCCATGCAGAACACAGCTAGATGTGTATAAAGAGCTCAGTTCCTTTACCCCTCACCCCCCCCCCCAACAAACTATAATCAGCTCTGGAAAGGCCATTAACTGGCCCTGGTACACTGTTCATCGTCCACCTCGGAGCTGCTTCACGGACGCCCATATAAGGTCTGGAAACGCAGTTATGATCTTTGCTGTGCATGTGACAGCTTCCAAAAGCCCTGGGTTGAGTACAGTGAGCGGCATGCCCCTGTCAGACTGCGTTGCTGTCCACCCTTTCGACATGGTTGGCTGCGGCCCCCCCGGAGCCAGCTGAGGTCTCCATGTTGAGCTTCTCAGCTGCTTCTGTTCCCTCTTCCTGTTTCCTGACCTTCCTGCGACAGAGTTTTGGTCGACTGTGAGAGACACAAAGGGTGACAGCTGTTAGACCTGTATATGCACAGCTGGGGGCCCCATAAACACAGAGCTGTGGCACTCCTTAGCTGGGGGGCCCTTATACGCAGAGAGGTGCTGTTTTTAACTGGGGGCCCCGTATATGCAGACAGGTGGTGCTTTTTAACTGGGGGCCCCGTATATGCAGAGAGGGGCCCCAGCTGCCAAGACCGTGACTCTCATGCCGCGGTGATGTCAGAGTTGGCAGGTGATGGCCTCCTTGCCTTACTCTGGTTTCATCAGGCAATTCAGATGACAGGGGCCCCGCCCCGGTCACTCACTGCGCACAGATGCAGACGATGGCGATGAGGAGGATGAGGAGGATGAAGGCTGCGATGACACCGGCAAAAATAATCTGGTTCTTCTCGTCAATCTGCGGGTAGTAGTTGATGTACTCACAGCGAGAGCCGAAGAACCCATTCTCACACCTGGGTGGGGGCGGGGGGGGGGGGGGGGGGAGTAATGGTGAAGTTGTAGAGAGGTACCTCAGTCTAAAGGTGGCAGTATACTTCAAACGAAATCAACGGGATTGACGTTGTTTTAGCGATTCTATGAGCCATATTAACCAATAGTGGCAGTTAATAAACAGAGCAACTTCCATTTTGAAAGAGCTGTCATCTCCTTTATTAAAATCACTCACACACTGGGCACAATACATTAATTTACCCTCTGGATGTGGGTCTGCTACATGGAAAACACTGCGCTCTCAAGGGTTGTAGCATTTCAGTATGTGGACAGACTGTTCTTGCTGACGTGTCTGATTTCGTTTTGTCCAGAAGTCGTTTGAAGAATGCGGCCACCTTAACACCTCTAGCTACCCCCTATTTCCATGAGACAATTACGCAGATTAAACCATGTAGTTCAGCTTGTGAGATTTTCAAAGCCTCAGAAGGGGTGCAGCACCCCATTTCACACCCACATGCAGCCCCCAGCACCTCCAGACGGGACTCACACGCACAACGGCGACTTCTCCTCCACCACGAAGCGGCACTGGCCATGAATGCAGAAGTGATCATACTCCTTAGGGCATTTAGTGAAATGACCCCCCCACCCGGGCGAACCAGCCTGGTCTGTGGGGGGGTGGAGAAAGAGAGGAGACAGTAAGACATGGAAACATACACAAATCCCAAACAGAAAAAAACCAGAGTATCTCTAAACCAGGGGTCTCCAACTCCGGTCCTGGAGAGCTACTATCCGGTTGGTTTTCAATCCTACCTGGCTTCCAATGAGCCACACCTGTTCTCAGGTAAATACCAGGGCCTGGTGTGGCTCATTAGAAGCCAAGTAGGATAGAAAACAGACCGGATAGTAGCTCTCCAGGACTGGAGTTGGAGACCCCTGCTCTAAACATATCTAGTCTTGGGAGCATGGGCAGGACTATCATGCATTGTCAGTCTATATTTCCTCCAATTGTCTTGGAAACATGCATTGATTGACAGCATACTGTCATCCCGCCCACTGTGGCTCTGAAGCCTCACATCCACTCCATCACATGACATCATCATTTGCATATGCAAAATTGCCAAGCTGTCAAACCAACTCCTGCAAATGCGACATGTATGAATGTTCCGGGTTTGGTTCACCTCCAATTCACAATGCAGCTTAAAACACCAGCAGATGGAGGAAAATGCCCATGTCATTACCGTAACAAGGCAGCACAATTCAGGACATTAGATATCGCAATGAAAAGATTTTATTTAAACCAGCTTCAGAGTCATTGGTCTGTGGAAACAGGTGTCTGCTCAATAGCCAGCATTTTCAGTGAGGTCCAAGCAAATAAACAGATGCAATCAACATTAGCAAGAGAATTTGCACCAGACCCCCTCAGGAGGCCCTTTCCCACCGCAGGAACTTTTTCAGGAAGCAGGAACTTCTGTCACATTCCACCAGAGGAATTCCCTATTCCAGGGTAGGTACTCTTTGTTCAACTAGGAACTTCTAGCTGATTGGTTGACCTCAAGCCCCAGAGCTAACTTGGAATTAACACCAGAAGGGCAGGGAAAAGAGACAGAAGTGCAGCAAAATGAAGAAGATGGAATTATTTTTATATTTCAATTACGTTAAATTCATTCACATGTACCTGTAATTGCGTGTGTCTGTATATTTCTGCCTCGGAAAATTCGATCTCTCACGGCAGCGTATGGTCCAGCAGCCTAAGCCCCTGTGCCTCCGATTAGAAGGTCGCCGGTTTGAACCTGACCTTAGCAAATCAGCCACGTCTGTGGACCCTTGAGCAAGGCCCCTTAACCCTCAGCTCCAAGGGCGCCACTGCAGGCGGCTGCCCTTCACTGCCAAGCTTGCCATCACCTACATGTGTGTCATGGAGAGCAAGATGAGGTAGGCGAAAAGAGAATCTCCCCGCAGGGATCACTGAAGTGTCATTTCACTGCAAGTCATACTGGGTATGATTGGTATGTGACAAATAAAATTAGAATTTGTTGTACTATTTTTATTCTGTGGAAAACAAGAGATGGATCTGCTGGCCAGACTTAGTAATGAATCATAAACGTGCTGCAGGTTCTATAAAACCGCATCGTGGACCAACACTTTGAGACCTCTAAGAGTTGCCATCCGTCCTGTATTTTACCGGATCATCCCATATTCCATCCATTTTCTGAAACCGCTTGTCCTATTCAGGATCACAGAGGTCCGGAGTCTATGGGCACAAGGCAGAGAACAACCCAGGATGAGGCGCCAACCCATCACAGGGCACACTCACACACCTATGGGCAATTTGGTAACTCCCATTAGCCTCAGTACGTGTTTGGACAGAGCACCCGGAGGAAACCCCACGACGACATGGGGAGAACATGTGCGAGTCTACATGGAACCCTGGCGGAAACTTGAACCCAGGTACCAGAGGTGTGAGGCAACAGTGCTAACCACTGCACCACCACTGGATCATCCCATATTATAAAAAAAATGTTGTGTTCTAATTTGAACCAATACAGGACACAGTTGATCCCATATTTTTGGACCATGCAATAGAACACCCGCCTCCCCCTAATAACTAACACAACAACTTCCTCTATCGTTTTGGCATGGTAGCGTAGTTTAGTTTGAAATCATGTGTGAAAGTTGAACCTACGAGATTATTTGTTTCCAGTGTTTATTTAGCATAAAGGTTCCATAAAGCTTCCTGTTGCGGGCAGGGGAAAGCGACACGCTAAAGTGGCCGGGAGCTACAAAAGTTCCTGGTTCCTTTAGTGGAAATGGCCTGGGATCAGCCCAGTTTATGTGCTCCCAGCCCTCAGACATGCAAAACCTCCACCCACCTCTCTGCCCACATGGGCCGCCATGCCGGACTGAGAACTGCCAGCTAAAAATACACGGCGAGCGGATGAATGAGGGCACACAGCGAGTGACGTGCTGCTGATGCTCCTTGCGCATTTTTGGCTATAAGATGCCAGAGCTGTTCATTTGTTAACCATTGTTAAGAGCCCAATTACTTTGCTCCTCTTCCCTTAAAACCATGATGACGGAATCCCCCTCCGGCTTGCCGCTGTATCTCTGCAGCCATACCTGTGCACTGGCTGTCGTTGCCATAGGTACTGCAAAGTACGCTGTCATTGGCTCGGGCATCCGTGGCGTTCCATTTGGCCTGCGAGTGTTTGCGCAGGGCACCGGCTAGAACTGAAAAACAAACAGGACCACGGTGAGATACGGTGTGCAGACGGGCCGATGGTCTGCAGGGTGGCTGGAAATCAAAACACACCGCAGGGGCAGAAATCAGAGCACTGGTCAGAAGGTCCCTATTAGGAGTCCAGCGCTTCTGATTCAGTTTATCTGTTAGTAATCTGGGGGGGTTACAGTCTGGAAACATAAACGTCTAGTTATACTGAGAAGCCAGCAAACTTTTTGGATATGCAGTTTGAGATGGTCTGTGGCAGACATGATCTCAAAAGTGCCCCATGTATCACGTGGTTCTGTACACATACACACACCTTTCCGTAAGCTTGCATCTCCTTGAGTCCACATGTGCCCTCAACAACCCCGCAAACGGGAAAAATGTTTCTTAACCTCAGGATCCGCAAATTCTCCGATGTGAGCTCATTGCCCACGGCCTCGGGCGGGACTGCGAACCGCTATCCCAGACTCCCGATCCACACCAGCACACAGTTCAGCTTGTCATGCTAACTTAGCGCAATACTTCTCTCAGTATCTAGGGTGTGAGAAGTTTCAAGGAAGCTGAAATACTTTCAGTAACACTATGTTAATTGCTCACGGGAACAGTGTCCCATATGTGACACAAAAGGCCTTTTATGAGACGTAGTTATTTGATATTCATACAAATTACACACAGGTGTAAGCTGAATACTTTCGTCCTAATATTTCTCAGGTGGCATCTCAGGTGGCCATGGAGGCTTTCCGGATCTAACACAATTGGTGCGGGAATTCGCGACGCCCGTCCGGTCTGTCGTGGGTTTCCACACCGCCCTGGACCGGCTCTCATATACAATATATTAGTATTAAAATAAATTTAAAAACATACGTCTCGTACTGAACAGTTCACATTCCCCCGGTCTGTTTTTCTGTTCTCTACATTTGCACTGTAATCATACCCGTTAGTATTAGTAACCTTAATAAGCACACGTTAACAGTAACATATTAACCACGCCACAAACTCGCAATCTTCAGCCGGACCTCTATAAAAAACTTTTTAAAAAAGATCTGATGGCGGACAGGGAACACGGATCCTTCACCGTTTCTGTACGGACATGAAGCATAAGTTTCCATAAATTTGACCGGCTGAAATACTTACAGATTATTAACGCATAAGCAAGCGATTCCTCATACCATTACGCACATAAACATGCACCTAACTAGAGGTGCATTTTTACGTATCTTACGTGTTTTTCGTTTACATTCTTGCAGACGTAGTCCTACCTTACCTGTTCCTATAATAAGCAGCAGTCCCAAGGCAGCCGTCCTCTGCATGGCTTTCAGCTCCAGTTTCCTTCACTTGATCCGGCGATAAAAGTGAACGGGCAACCGAACATGTTTACGTGGCCCCATCAAAGCCTGTCCGGCTGTAGAATCTCCCGAACAGACGGCGGACTGACTGCCTTCGGGGAGGGGGCTGGACCTGACGCGCCTCTGCACTGCGCGGGCGGACCGGGCGGCCCTACCCACCACGGCACTCACAGCCCTGTAGTTTAAATTTCGGCAAGGACATTTGTGCGACTGCTTTTGTCGTCCTTAACAGTTTTTGTTTTTCTGTTTACATTAAAAGATAAATTGCGACTTGACAACAGCAACATATGGCACAAATCATTAAATCATTAAGATGTCACAAGTAAACGTACCAAGAAAGAGCGGATGTAAAATTTAAACTTCTGCTTATTGTGTAGCCATCACATACTGCATTTGTTTACATGCAGGGCCAGTATTAGCCCATGTTGCGCCGAGCATCACCGTTGATATTTGGAAATTAATTTCTATACTAAATATAAGAACTAAAAACATGATTGTGTATGCGATTAATCGAATTTTTTAAAATAATAATCGGTATCAATATTATATGCTCATCTTGAAATGTTAGTCTTGTTGTAGCCACTTAGTCACATCCGTGGTTTTAAAGGGGTGGCCGGATCTCAAACAGTGCGTGGACAAATCAAAAAGACCTAAAAAGGCCTATATCACTTGAAGTAACAATTGCTTTCCCAAGCTCTCGAAATGACTTGTACCTGAGAATCCTGTGACTGCGGTAAAGTTAAATGTATATTCAACATTCAGTCTTCCGGCTGTAATGTCTTTCAACAGAACTCAGTATTCAACAGCATTACAACTGCATTGTGTTATGCCCAGCTCGTCCGATCCTCCCGTGTGCCACGCCCCCTCATCTACCGAGTGTGGATTCCCCGTATTTACCGGCTGTTTCTCGTCGTTGTGATTAGTCCTGTGTATTTCAGTCCGCGTTCCAGTATGTTTCCCCAGTCCTGTCCTTAACGTTGCGTGTGTTTTGGAGTGTGTTACTCGGCAGTAAACCCCGTTTGTTCGCATTCACGGCTCCCTTTTCCCGCTTCTCCGTTCCAATCGTGACACATTGTAAAGAACTGTGGTTTTGATACACATTTCAGATAAGTAATGATATCTCAGCAACAACTCAAAAACCAAAAACCAAATTATCTGGAGATGCTCATGACATTATGAGCTAGCTTTAGTAAAAAAATAATCGATTTTTAAGTATAGGTTTTTTTGTTATTAAATTTTTAATATTTTAATCAGTCATTACATAGTAATTATTCAATGGGGATGGCATATCATTTGTTCAATCTGTAGAGCTGGACAATAGCTTTAAAACAATATGAGGACCCTTTTTGTGCAGCTTACATTAAGGTAAATTTAGCCAGTCAAAACCATAGCCCCCCCAAATAAAAAGTTAAAAATTAGTTTGCTTAAATCACCCTCAATATTGATCCAGGACATGCCCGATTTCATCATCTGAAAATTAAGTGTTGTGTATTGTACCCTATAGTCGAGTGTTTACACCAGACTTTACTGGACATGTCTGTCTTATTAAATTTTGTAGTTATTAGTCGATATACCAAAGTCCATGTACAATATAAAAAAGACTGATCACATAATATTAAGATGGGAAGACAAGTTTTCCAAAGTAAATAAGTAGGCCTATGTGATTTATTGTACTCCTTGAAAAAGTAAATAAATGCTGAACTGAGACTTAAGCCTGTCTGACCGGTCAGTCAAGTTTGATTTCTTAGTTTGCTTGGGATTAAAACAGGCCATATAGATTTTGGTTTCTTTTTTTAGCAACCACTGACATATTATATTAGAGTGTTCTTATTGGTGCAAACTAAAACCTTTAAAGCTTTTAAATAAAATCAGTGGTGGTATGGGGCTCAGCAGACTAAGCCTCTGTGCTTGTGGTCAGAAGGTTGCCAGTTTGAGCCCAGCCTGTAGGTCCTTGAGCATGACCCTTGACCCCCACCTCCCTGGGTGCTGCTATGGGGGGGCTGCCCTTTACAGCCAGCTTACTGTCACCTATAGAAAGCAAGTTGGGGGGAGTCATTAAGAGGATTTCCCCATGGGGATTAATAAAAAAGATATCTGTTATTAAAATTGCTGCTATCTTGGTGTCCCATGGCAGGGTTTGTTGACACCTTGCAATTTGTTCTGCATGTCTTTAGCCACCTTAAATCGGGTCAGAACCTACTTTTTAGTTGTTATCCAAAACATCCAGGCTAATCGTCTTCTTATACCAGTATACAGTATCTATAATGTTTGGTGTATTATGCAATTCAGCAATTCAGATTAGTCATTTTGAGAATATAGAACCCAAGATTTGCAGCACAATTCCATTTTTCAACTCAATTTATTGTTATATAGCGCCTTTCACAAAAGTCACCCCAGGGTGCTTTACATGTCTGTGTTGTGATACATTTCTGCATCATTTTATTCTGTATAAATTCTGTATAATAGTTTGGTCGTTTGCTTAGAGCATTTGACTACAGCTTTAAATTTTATAAAATAACTCATAATAGGATCCTGTTTATTTGTCATTGTTAACGCTAGCCTACTAGCCTAAATGTTACACAAAATAGGAGACTGACCATCGACAATTATGTGCCTACATTTAGCTTGTTCTTTTATGTTTTAGCTTGTCATTAGTAGAATGTTAATGCATCTAAAAAAAATTCCACACACTGTGCATGAACATTAACACATTTTGGCAAACCAGTGACATATCTTTGTTACCCGTGGGCCACCCCAGTTAAAAATTCCTAGAAGCACCTCTGGTCACATGTTGCTAACCTGACTGCATCCTTGACTCCTCTCCCATCTCCTCGTCAGAAAAAAAGTGTAATAGTCTGGCTATAAGATTGACTGTTCAGACACATTTATAGTATAACTGATAGATACTTTATTACTTTAGTAATCTCAGGTTAACTGTAGCACTACAACATACATTGACAGTAGAAAGACATTTAGACAGTAACAACAAGTAAGAGTGTAGACATGTAGACAATATCACAAATTATTGCACTACATTCCATAGAAATAGCTGAGAAATAAGTAGCACTACACAGTCCTTAAGTATACTGTAATTTTTTATGCATTATATTCTTGGGTATATACCTGCATATGTAGCAAATATTTCCCTGTCTTCCTCAGGTCCATTCTGCACAGAAACTCACATCTATGGGCAAGCAACAATGCCCCAATTAATGAAGGGCCATGTCAAACAGGAGAAGAACCAACGAGGCCACATTTCAGCAGCCGTCTTGTAAACATTCTTCAGGGAATAAGGGCAGAAAGACGAGGGCATCTATCGTCGATTCATGTGAAAGGAGATAAGAATCAGAGAAGATAAAGGCTGGAGGTGGATTACTGACATGTGTGTTTAAAGTCTTGCTGTGGAGCAACACGCTTGCATGCATTGACCTGTAAAGGTACCCACAATTCACTTTAATTTTACTTAAGTGAGGTTATATCCTTCTTGTTTGGATAGCTAATGCTTGGTCTAAGTGTCCTTATTTTAATCACCCTTCATACAGTGTGCAGCAAGGGGTAGCATGTGGCTCAGTGGATTAAGCTTTGTGTCTATAATCAGAAGGTTGCCAGTTCAAACCCCGTCTCAGCTCATCTGTGGCTCCTTGAGCAAGGCCCTTAACCCTTAGCTCCCTGGCTGCCTCAACAGGTGGCTGCACTTATTCTACAAAAAGCAAGTTGAGGGAGGTGTAGGGACAGTTTCCCCACAGGGATCAATACAGTATTAATTATTACAGGGATCAGTCGGGATGTGTGATGTGTTTCGAAGATTCAGGCGGCTGAAAACGATTTAATGCCATTCAGCAGAGTAACTTGTGGAAGCTTGGAAATCTTTACCACTGCAGCCCTGCTAATTGGGTTATCTGTATAGTGACACCTTTATCTGAAGCTTTCACAGGACTCGATAAGTAAAGTAACACCAGGAGGAATTTACACAGTATTGTGCAGGGTGACGATTTTGCTGGTAAACCCAAATGAAGGAATTGTAGTCCTGGCCTAGGAGTGGGATTTTGTTCCTAGAGCAGTAAAGGAAGTGTTTAAGTTTATTGGCTAGTGTAAAATTAAATGTTTTAATCATCTTGGTTATCAGGCACAGGCGAAAGGAGAGGTACCCTCGCAGGAATGAGGGTGATGATCCACTTGTGGCTCGATGACAAGAGGGGTTTATTAACACAATAGAAAACAGTAGGGAAGGCACAAAAAAGGACTGCAATGGGTCAAAACAAAATGGGAGAAATAAGAATGTAACAAGAAATCATAAAGCAGATACTCTGGGCAAAGGACTGAGCACTAGAACAATATAAATATTATAAATATAACAATAAATCAAAATAAACCCACAACTGGAGGGTTAACAATCTCTGAGCCACATGCTCAGCCCACTGAATTACACAGCAGTCCTGGGAGCAGGGAAGACACACTGGGGACTTAGGACTAAGACAGAGGAGGAAACAGGATGGCCAGCACCACCTGCTGGCCAAACGGGGACTGAACACATAGGACAGAGACAGACTATATGACAGAGAGGGGGAAAAGGCAGAATGACCAGCAATGACTGCTGGCCAAACGGGGGACAGGTCAGAGGGCGGGGTCAGACGGACCCTGACCCTGACAAGAGGCTCATGAGGCCGGGATGGAGGTACGAGTAAATGGGTTTTAATGAGATCAGCAAAGGACAATGGCAAGGTAACAAAGAAGCAGGCAAACTATGGCTCAAGACCAAGAAGACGACAAAGACGTATGACGGGAACAAAGACAGGGGAGCGGATCTGACAGCCGGACAACAGTGCAGATGAGTAGGGAGATGAGGACAGCAACCTTCATATATAAAGAGAAAACAGGTGCAACACACAAAGGGAGCCGGGGCAGGGCAATTGTCAGTTTGGACACAATAGGTAAGCTTGAGAGCACTGGTCTTGCGCATGTTTTCGGTTTGTCAACCCATTCTCAAGAACCATGTATGCAATTATTATCCTGTGACCTGGAGCCCTTAGGATCATTGGACTTAAGGCAGGCCAACCCCCAAATGATCACTAGTCTGTCTTGTGACACACACAACTAAGATCAGAATCAGAATCAATTATCTCCAAGTACATATGTGCGTAAGAGGAATATGGCACGGAATATCAGTGCAGTCACAAGAATGAAAAAAAAAATGAAAATACTGTTATTAAACAAGCATATTGAAATGACAATAGATACAGCAGACGATGGTATCATCAAGAATACTGAGTGATAAACATAGGAGGATGTGCAAAAGAGCAATAAAAATAAGACAGTAGAGAATGAAAAATAATGACCTTGTTATACACAGGTTGAATAAACAAATAAATACATACCACACTTAAGACTGGATCAGAGTTACCACATATGAACCATGTGTGTGACCAGAAGAGCACCACCCAAACACAGGTATGCATGCAACCTACACACCCACACATACACACACACATACCCACCCACACATACACACACACACACACATTGTTGGGGCTGTATGTAATCAGCGTGTCTCCATTTTTATCTGGTTTCACCAGCTTTTACATTCACCTGTAGGACAAGCGGGTACAGAAAATGAATGGACAGATAAGACAGGTGATTTTCCCAGGATTCCTGGCCTCACCCTGGAGCACAGGGCTGGTAGATGTAGTGATGTAGATGTAATGCAGTGATTAGATATGGGAGATTTATTAATAAGATGGCAGGTCAGAGCTCAGTGAATGACACCCTGACACCTGCATTGGGTAAGAATCAAACTGAAGAGGGCAGCATTCACTTTAGCACAAGTATGCAGGTCATGTGACACCAACACTACAGACAGTACCAGTCAAGTTTGAGTATATCTGCCTGAAACCACAATTATGTGTGTTTTAAACTATGCACTCATCTACTCATGGCCAGTCAAGCAGGTGTGAGCGCTATTTGGTGGTGTGATACTTTTATGAAAAAGTATGAAAAAAAGCTTTCATTATTAGAGGTATTAATATTTCAGAGGTAAATACCACTTGTGACAGATTAGCTGTGAAATGTTGACACATCTTTCTGGGTGTGCCAGAATGCCAGAAGGAAAGTGTCACCGAGACTGACACACAAGGTTTCTGTCACTGTCACTCGCACAGCTGGGGCTGCCTGGCTTTGTACAGAGTGACGAGAGGGAAGGGTTCAGGTCACACAATTCCTGCATCTGTCTGTGTGGAGCAGGTCAAGCTTGTTGGTTTTCAGACGGTCACCTGCTCACACAGTGATTTTTATTCCACTCTACATCTAAGTGCGAATCCACCTCGAGAATTTTGTGACATCATGCTGGGCTCCTCCTCTTGAGTCCCGGGGCACAGCAGGATGATACTTTGCTTATATTCAGAGGTTGTGGGGGGGGGGGGCTGTACAATCCCACAAGGGCCCCAAAAGAAACAGGAAAGACGGGGGAGATTTATAAGGTGACTGTCATGGGCTTTCGAAGATCTTGCTAAGACTCCTCTCAGCTTGTGGTGACTTTATCATATTATTCTTTGGTTCGTCAAAGATATGGGCCCAGATTTCTCTGCACCCACCTTGGTCCTGCTGAACCACACCACTCCATGGGCTTGGAGCTGCATAGAATGCTGACAAGTGCTTTGTCCAAGCTAGTGGTAGAGGGCGTGGGAAGGGTCTCCTGCTGATGGGGCCGCTGGTGGTCGGGGAAAGCCATTGGAGACGGGAGCTCCCTGGGGCCTGGATCACACCGGCCTGGGGGGGGGGGATCAATTTAGTCTGTATTTATCACTGAACAGGGCTGCGGCACAGACAGAAAGCTGATCAAACATGTCAGTGAACAGCTTTTCAAATAAAACCATAGTTGTGAAATAATAACCGAAAAACCTTTAATGTGACCCCACAACAAGCACACAGCGCTTATGGTCCTGAGCACTTACATACGAATGTCACCGGAATGAGAAGGCAACCACTGACCATCAGGCAATTTAACAAGAAACTGAACAGGTGTCACTGACAGAAGCTAATGTCCACTGCTTCCAGAGAGCTGAAACCAGGAACACTGCTGTATAAAATACGCAAAGATCACTCCAATAGCAGAAAATAACTGACTCCAGATCAAGCTGTGATACACACCAATGCCACAGTTTTCTGTGTGTGATGGTGTGATTCTTCAGATGGGCTGGTAGTTTTGACACTAACAGAACATGGCCAAGTGATTCTCCCCAGTAAATGGCAATGGAAGAAGGCATCACCATTCTGTAATTATAGCCCATCTTCCTACAATTGTATGGCAACTCAAAACACTTTAAAAGGGTTACATTATAAAAAGCAGTTATTAGGCCTCTGGAGGGCCTGGGCCTCGCCTAAAGTCATGCCCATGTATGGAGTGTTTTGCCTGGACTGGGGGTCCCAGTCGGATCAGCATTACCTCCAGAGGGTCCTACGCAGTGGAAGACATCTCTGCGTTTCAGACAGCTGGTGTATTTAAGCACACTCAGCCAACTGTCCAGCTTAGCCTTAAGGAAGAGCATCAGTCTCCATCACACATGGTGAGTAGCTGTATGTGTCATCTAAAGCCTACCGTAATGAAATGAACCATTGTTATAAATGTCACTGTAAGAGGTAAGCGTGCTTCATGTCTTCATGTTCACGATGGTCTCCTGATTGTGTGACACTCGAGCGGTGGGAGCGGATCCTCATGACGTCCGGTTCCTCTCTCTTACAGGCCAGCCGGAAGACCAAGAAGAAGGAGGGTGGGGCAAAGCGTGCCCAGCGAGCCTCCTCCAACGTCTTCTCCATGTTTGAGCAGACGCAGATCCAGGAGTTCAAAGAGGTGGGACATCGTCCTACTACACAATCAGTAACCATGTGACCTAGTGACAGAGATGGTGGGTTCTCATGGAAATGAAGGAAACTACCTGTGTTTTGAGACCCTCATATGGACTGCACGGTCTTGACTTTCCACAGGCTTTCACGCTGATCGACCAGAACCGGGACGGCTTCGTCGATAAGGAGGACCTGAAGGACACCTATGCCTCGCTGGGTCAGTGTGCTTGCCCGGACCACGGGCTGTGCGTGGGCCGCTGGGAAGGGGTGCGGTCTGACTGCTTATCAGCGACCCCTCTTTGCAAACAGGAAAGCTGAACGTCAAAGACAACGAACTGGAGGACATGCTGAAGGAGGCCAGCGGGCCCATCAACTTCACCATGTTCCTCAACCTGTTCGGGGAGAAGTTACACGGTGAGGTCGTTGTCCTTCAGGGCGGCTGTGCGGGTCTTTATTACATTCAGGACAATCTCTAAGCTAGTTCAGCCCAGTAAATGACAGCGGTTGATGGGGTATGCCCCCCAACTAATAAGTACAGAGAGGTTTGGACCCTGTCTCACCTGTTTACTTGGAGGTGGCCAGTGGCGGAACAACTGCACACAAGGCCCCGGGGCAAAACACCAAATTAAAAAGCCCACGGCATATAATCGGGCTATATCCAACAAAAAGCAGTTTTTAAGAACGTAGCCTACATGGCGAAATTAAATTACTTTCTGGACCAACAAATGCAACCAGGCATGCACCTTCCTAATCTTGATGTGTCGTCAGATGGATGAGGATGTTAGGCAGCCTTTAGATTCTACCCATCATGCACTGCAGTTTTTTTGCAAATTCCTCAAACGGAAAACCATTACATACAAAAGGAACAGCTTAGTTTGACTTCAAAACATTACTATGTATTATATTTTAAGTTTGTTGTAGGGATTTTACTGATTTTTTTTTTTTTTTAATTAAAAATTACACCATACACCCACCATAATAAGAATGTATACCAAAAATGACAGATATATAAAATCGCAAGCCCTGAGAGTTTGGGAGAGATTATGTCAGTGCAACTTTCTGTGTATTTAGCATATGAGAGGGCCCTCTTGTGGCTGGGGTGGTGGCCCTGCCTTGCCCCACCCTTAACTCTGCCCCTAGGTGGCTCAGTGGGCTAACCTTCTGTCCCTGGAATCAGAATGTCATCAGTTTGAGTCCCAGCACAATAGTCACATGTCTGTGGGCCCTTGAGCAAGGGCGCTGCATACTGTCTGACCTATACCTGTACTATAACGGCTAAGCTTGCCTCTCACCTGTGTGGGTGTCTGAATTTCTCATGGAGAGCATGACAGGGTAGGCCAAAAGAGAATTTCCCTACAGAGATTAATAAAGCATCACCATCCCATTCTACTACTCGGCTGATGATGAGCTGTCGCACAGCCTGGAAAGATGGTGTTGTGTGTTTCTCCGCAGGGACCGACCCAGAGGAAACCATCCTCAATGCGTTCAGAATGTTTGATCCTGAGGCCAAGGGACACATACACAAAGATGTGTAAGTGGGCTACGTACAGAAAGACACACGCTAAGCTAAGCAGGCTCTGCTAGTCGTGAAGCTTACTGACAGGACAGATTTCCTACTTCTCAGCAAAGGCACACAGCCTAGCTTTGCTGAGACGGGTCAGCATTGCATCCTGAGTATACACTGCCATGCACTGCACTTGGGGTGAGACGTATATTTGTATCCCTCCAGTGAGTTTCTGAGGTTTCCAGTGTTTGCAGTGAACCCACCCAAGCTACTCCACACCTATTTCCCTCAGAAATCCTTCCACAATTTTCAATTAGATCTCATAAAACTTCAATAAGTGCACTGATATCATCCCTGTCCAGTGCCTCTAACTACTGCTGTTCCACAGATTGCAGCACCTCCTGATGACACAGGCTGATAAGTTCACGGCTGAGGAAGTACGTACCAAACATTCCTTCTCACTTTGATGGCAGCTCTGCACACTTTTACTCTGACTCTCCCCCTGTCACCATGTACAGGTCAACCAGATGTTCCAGTCCTCCAACATAGACACATCAGGAAACTTAGACTACAAATCCCTTTGTTACATCATCACGCATGGAGAGGAGCAAGAGTGAAGGGGCCGCAGGTGTCAAGTGTTCCGGCCGTCTATTCTCTGCACGCAATGTCACTGACCCCTGACCTCTCCTGTCATCGAGGGCTGCAAGTCAATAAAGAGCTGTTTTTTTTTTTATATATAAATCTGGCTGGTGGTAAACAGTGAGTTTAAGTGCAGCTGCCTGGATTTTTTTATGATTACTTTGCTACATGGAAATCTGTACTCACTGTTACTCACATGTTAATATTCAAACAAAAATCCTTTTCAGTCAAGTATATCTTACCACCATTATGAAATACTGCGTGCTTAAAATGCATTAAATGCTTTATCGTTTTACTAATGTTTTACATAACTTTTACATACATAAATCATTGTCATTGTTTAGGCTGTGCTTGTAAAAATACATAAAGATTGCTCAGTTATCACAAAAATCTAAGTGGTAAAAATGTAAACATTGCCAGGGAACAATTCATGATGATACAACTTTTAACACACCTGATTCAAAACTGCACTTTGCACTAGAAGACAATAACAATAACGGAAATAAAAGTTTGGTAAGACCTTGGTTTTGTATTAAAGCAGATGCAGCCCTCACTGTGTGCGATTTCCCCCCTGGCTGTGACCATATGAAATGCAGAGGTTTATTCTAACACGGAGACATTGTGTTTGCATAGTGCCCTGAGCTGGGACCGTCTCTTAAGACAAAACCCGTATAATATGGCCCCTTTTATGGTTACAAAAATATCACATTCTACTTGGTGAGAGCTTCAAGTACGATTGCTGGCAAAGGGAAATAAATCTGACATCAATAAATGACAAAATGGCTGCGTGGCTGTTTGTTGATCTTAAACAGAAGGCGTTTGCTGATTGGTGCTTAACAACCATGTGACTCTGCAAGCCAGGAGGGAGACACAAAGGATTGTTGTCCGTATCTCTGTTTAATGGCCTTTGGCTGTGCGAAGCGTTGGGGGTCCAGCTGAAGCCGCTTCCCTGCCCTGGTGCAGGCATCTGCCTCAGGAGCAGGCTGGGGCTCCCGCGTCCTGCAGCACCCAAAAGGCGAAGGAGAAGCCAGGAAGCCTGAGGGGCTTGCCGGGGGGCAGGGTGGTGCCCCGCAGGGGGGGGAGGGTGGTGTCATTCACCATCTTCAGCACCTCTCCGTTCAGCCGTACCCACCTGGAGGACAGCAGGACGTATTTGGAGCAGTTTCTCCAACAAGGCTACTTCGAGTGTGTAAATCGAGAGAAAAAGCCAGGGCTCCATGCTGGGGAGTCCCTGATTCTTGGAAGTACCTTGACTGCAGGTCCCCTGGATCAGAGACACCCGCCTCTAACACAAAGGCCTGAGCGCTGCTGTTAGCCACGTGATGAGGCAAGGCGAGCTGGACCATGGCCTCATCCAGGTTCAGGGCGAATAGGGTGACGGAGCCACTCCTGAAGTCCGGCCTGCAGGCGAGAAGCTCGTTCAGGCGATCTGACTGACATCTCAGCCCAGCACACACACGATTCAGCAGATGAACATCACAGCTGTCAGATCCAGGTTCATAAGCCTCACCTGTCCCTCCTGGTGCAGTGCAGGTAGACCCGCAGTCGACCGTCCCGGTCCCCTGAGCTGAAGGCTGCGTCTAATACCTCCGAGCCAACCAGCCTTTTGTACAGAACTGACAGCCAGTAATCCTGTCAAAGTACAGCACAGGCTGTCTGCAACCATCATGGTCTACATGCAGAAACACATGCCATCCGTGAATGGAGCAATGTGTAGCATGCCAGGCAAACACAGCTACCAATGCCTGCTTCTCCACAGGAGATGGACGGCTGCCTCATCCAATGGCATTTAGTCAGAGGTGGAGCTGTCAGACACTTACAGGAACGGGGTCCAGATTGTTGTCCACCAGATGGTACGTCCCAGCGCCAATGAGAGCCTGCCTGATGACCACATCTAAGCCCTGCTTTGCAGCCAGGCCCAGCTTGTCCAGCCACCTGTTGAAATAAAATAATTCAACAGAGACTCACTCCAACACTGCACTCAAGTTCTCAGGCTTGTTGGTCATTCTGGGAAGTGACTACTGCTGCGCAAATTTCACCATGAGCACGGAGAGGGAGCTAACCCAGTGCGGTCCATCACTCACATGAATCCAGCAAGGAACGTATCTGACAAGCCGACAGCCCCGCCTCCATAGGCTGAACTCGTCTCCCCAAGCCACACCCTCTTTCCTGGGGACACGCGGTCAACGATCTGTGGACCCGTGGGACAAAAATCACCAGCATGGAACAGGTCTGAAGGAATGGTCACCCAAAAACAAGACAGCAAAACATCTCCGCATTAACTGTTCCTCATGGACGAAGCCTACTGTGCTAATGAAGACCCCAGCTAACTAAGAACCCGTGGAAGATGGAGCAAAGATGACACTGTTGCCTATTACCTGAAGGACTTCATTGGTTTTTGCCATCAGACTGTCCAGCACAACTGGATCAAGGAAATCTTTCCGTGACGTCTCTCTGCCATTTACATAGTAGCTAAGAAGCCAGAGAGACATTACAGGTGTCAGGTAGCATTAACCATGAAGACACAATTCACACAGGTTCAAATTAGACACTCAAACAGTTATATCACAGCTGGTGTGGTGGCGATACTATTTTAACGTAGAAATTCAGCAATCAGTAATTGAGCAATCATGTAGAGCATTGACTCCAGTACTGGTAGTGTGCCAAGTCTGTAACCCTGACCCAGGAAAGGTTCTGACTCCGTTCCTGGATGGCTTAGTTTGAGCACCTGTGACCTGTGTTAATACACAGAGCAAGCCAGCACGCAGAGACAAACAGTTATCAGGACAGCCATTGTATGTCTATGCAAATCTGGAAGAAATTCCTACAAGAAATTTTCCAGAAGGTGCCTTTTCCTTTAAGAAGTCCATAGCCCAGTCTAATGCTGGAGTCACATGTCGTTCGAAAGGGGAAGTGACCTAAGGACTTCTTTATCTGCACAGCTGCCATGAGCACAGAAAGCATGGTGCGTAACACATGCATGCAACAACGGACTCTTGTTACACTACCCAAGACTCAGGAGGGTGTCTGTCATCATACTGTACCATTTGGAGGACTTTAAGGTAACCCTCACAGTTTTTATAATACAATGAAACTGATACAACCAAACAGTTTTTCGGTGTTTGTACAATCATGTGATGAAAATAAATAATTATGAGGTTCTGTAAACAGCGCTTAGGATTAAAGACTAATTTCCTGCTCCCCAATTTCTTAAGAGTGAAATATCACAAGATTAGCTAAAGCATCAAGCCACATGTGTGCATGC